CTATTTACCACATAATACCCAAAACTGAGGTTGGAAAAGTGGCAATACAGATCTTCCAAACAAATCATCGCAAGAAATTTCAAGCAACGTGCTCCTGTTGATCAATACCACTATGTTCGTAGTATTACTAAAACTATCATTGGTATTATCTCCTTTTTATCTTCTGTTACCCGTGAGCAAACTGTTACTCCACCATATCTCCATCACCAAGCATCACTGAGCTGTGATGATGCACCATGTACCACCGCCCATTATGGAACTCAAAGACATTAGTCATGTAAAATGGCTCGTCATCTATGTTAACGTCAGCCTTCATGGTAACCCAAGCCATGTCTGTCAGCACCCTAGCCCGTACATCTCGAACCTGAAAATCAACTCCTTGCTCCATGTTAAATGCAAGCTCCCAACCCTGAATTACAGCAGTATGCCTGCACGTGGGGAAAAAATGACTAACAATTTCTTATCATGACATAATAATATACAAGCAAACTAGTAATTTGAAAACATAAACATAACTACAGAACACTTTGTGGATGCCTCACTGACGCAAAGGGATCAAAATCACTAGTTAAGATTGAATATGTTTGATGACACGATCTTTATCTGTGATTAAGGACCAAAGATTTGGGAGAAAAAGGGGGACAGAAGTTCATGGATAAAGATGTTGTAACAGTAGGAAACATTTTTGGAGTGTGGCTCAGAACTATTTAACTACTACTGCCTCATAAAATGCACTTCAACAACCAAAGCAAAGTTTCAAGGAAGAAAAAAACACCATCATATTCAAGAAGTTTAAGTTGAACTTTAAGAAGACACGAGAAAGCTAATCAGTTGGCTTAACTCGCCATTTACCAAACAGAGTAACCCTAAAATGTGGTAAAAGATTACCAATGAGATAAATTTTCTACCACTATCAGAAAGCCAAATGCAAAACAGTGACTGAATGGGAAGCCACTATACCCTGAAAAATGTTCTCCTGTGGCATGAATGCACTTGACATAATCTGCATTAAGCCAAAAAAGACTCATTGCTGGAAGAGACCTTTCCCTGATGATGTTAAAGAATTGTGCATTAACATTCATGATGGCTCTTGTAGCTGCATAGTAGGCCTTCCACCCATTAACGGGTGTCATGGTATCTTGCTCCAAAGTAAAATCCTAATAAAATAAGAGAGAAGGAAAAACTTATACATACATTCAACAGTCTAGCTAGGAATATGTGATTGTTCAAGTAACATTGGGAAGGTTTATCGTTTGAGGAAGGAAAAACATGATCTAGGGAATACTATTAATAACTACCAGATTTGCAAGCATGGATAAAATGAGTTAAAGAATCAAAAATGAATCCATCCTTTCTCTAACTTTACACTCCAATAGAAGAGAAGATATAATAACATACATAGAAGGACTTGGAAAAGAATAATCAATATCCTTTACGTGAAAGCATGTTATGATTAGTTAGTAAGAGGCCGAGAAGACCAGAACAAAAGATTACCAATACAACCCAAAAAGGGGAAATTAAATAGCAGCCAAAATGAAAGCAAGCCCTCATCTAAGCACAATTGATCTGGCTAAGCCCAGTTGCCTTGTACCCAATTTGAAAGCATATAAGAAGGTACACGACACCGATCCAAATTGCAGTTTCTGCAACAAAACCATGTCTAGCCTATTATTTTAACACATTGCCCCCAAGATAGAAGAACAGAACCTCATAAGTAAAAAAAAATCACAGCACAGTCCACTAAAAAAGCTTTCAACTTTCTTAAATTTCAAATTACAAGATTTCTTTTGCCAAGCAACATCATAAAAACTGTCAAAATTAAATAAATCAACATACTCTCATCTGCCATTGTCATTCAAACCAGAAGCCTCATAAAAAAATCATATCCCCAATAGGTTAGGTGAGAAATTAACCTCTTTTCAGAGTAAGTGAAGTGCACTCATCACCTAATCACCAAATTCTCCAAATAATCAAATCACATATTAAAGAAAATCCAACCACTAATTCACCTTGTGATATAGCGCTTTCCAGGCATTGTCATCGTTAGCAGCCTTTCTCATGAGCGAATTAGTCATAGAAAGGCGACAGAGGCTGGAATAATCCAAGTAACTGAGTGCGTGAGTGGTAATCTCGGGAACCAACTGCTCCATCATTGAGGCGCCAGTCTGCCTCTCAACAACCGGAGCAGCAGGAGGAGGCTTAACGTCGGCGACGGCCATCAAGTCCTCGGCGGTCCCAGCGGCAGTATCCGTCGTTCCGTTGCAGGAAGAAGGAGGGGGGCGTGGTTTACCTTGTATCTTATCCAGTGAGGCGGAGAAAGTGATGAGAAGGCAATGATCAAAGGGTAAGGAGGAGGAGGAGGATGGAGGCAATGATCAAAGGGTGGGATTGGGATAGGGATAGGAATAGGAATAGGAAAGCGATGGAGAGGGAAGAGGCAATCTCCATTGAGATAACATTAAAGCTTGGGGAGTAGATGAAGGAAAACCCTAGAACCAGAAGAAACAGTAATTGAATTTGAATTGAATTAGAATTATATTATTGGGAGATAGAAGAGGAGGAAAACCCTAAAATGGGGGAAGGAAGGAAGGAAAGAGATGGGTTTGCCCAGATTATCAGTTGCAGTGGCAGAGGACGTGGAGGATGGGTCATTTTTGACAACGTAGCCAGGGGAGTGTTTCGTAAATTCAAACTAAACGCTGTCGCTTTGGAATTTTTTACCCTATAGAAACCGAAAATACTGAAACTCTTTTTTTTCTCACTAGCTCGAGGCGCATTATAAACGTTGTTTAATTTAGAATCCAACCACGTTAAACATTTTATGTTTATCTT